AAAACCCTCATCTCAGGCTCTGCTTCTGGAGACCCAACCTCAGGTACCCTACTCTGCTCCCTGCCCACAGTGAGCCACAGACCAAGAGCCTGGCTTACCCACCAAGCTCCTGGCTCTGAGCAAACCTTAATCACTAGACTCAATCCATTTTGCCCACGGTTTTGCCGTGAGGAAGAGGAGTGTGCTTGACTCCCACAGAGCAGGCACTATGGTGTGAAGAACTCGAGAGAAATAAACTTTTTCTGGGCCAGGGGATGGAAACCAAGGGAGCGCTCAGGAAGAGAGGCTTCAGATCTGGTCAGCGTGTGGGGCCCACCAGCCGAGTCCCTCCCATTCCCAGTCCCTCCCTGCTGCAGGCCTGTTTGAAGTCTGTGGGCCGCCTGGTCTGCTAGATGGACAGCATTTGTAAGCAACTCTCTCCCCAGCCCAGTTAATAATTCAGGAGCCAGTGCCTGCAGCCAACCTATCATTCCAACCCCGCTGCACCCCGAACGCCAAGCTAGTGGACAGGAAACAAAAAATCACCATACCCGCTTGAAAAATGGTCCTTGCTTCAAGTGCTTGCTGTGTCCCCCATGCTGGGGTGGGAGAGAGCTGAGCCGAGACGGATCTGCTGGGCAGACAATGAGAGAAGTGTGGAGCAGTGCCCGGGGCTCAGGCGTGCACACTGAACGGTATTTAATTTTTGGATCCTGAGCCACGTTTGTTTTTGGACAGTGGGATGTAGTCGCTGGAGTGCAGGCTTTGGAGGAACCATCTTTTTTCTTCTGATTCAGCTATTCATCCTTCACTCACTGTCTCTCATTCATTCATTCATTCATTCGGCAACGATTGCTGCCACTGACGGGGAAGTGGCATTGAAGATACGGGGGCAGGGGGCTGGGGGAGTGACACCTGTCCTTAGGGAGGCAGACACATACAGTGGGAGGTGCCACACTTAAGGGGCTCGAGACAAGAAGCAGCTGGCTGGGGGCTCTGCGTCTGGGGGCGGCCTGTTGCCTGGGTATGTGAGGGCCCTAAATGTCCGAAGCAGGGAGAGCAGGGTAGAGAGGTTAATGGTTAAGATCATGGACTCAGGGGCCAGAGTGCCTGGGTTCAAATCCCAGCCCCACCACTCACTCACACAGAGTTGGCCTCTGTGTGCCTCAGTTTCCCCATGTGTAAAACAGAGTTAATAATGGGAGACTGAGACAAACGATTTCTTATTGTTAAGACAATGAACAGAGACTTTGAGAGTGAAATGAAAAATCCAAACTCTGACAAAGACAAAGTGCTGGCGACTATAAAGTAAAGCCACCTTTGGAAAGTGATGGGGCGGGTTCTTATGAAGCCAAACACACGTCCCCAGCCTGCGGTCCCACCCATGGGTATTCACCCAGATGAAATGATAAACTTCTGTTCATACAAACACCTGTACGTAAATGTTTACTACTCACTTCGTAACCTACCCGATTGGGAAACAACCCAATGCCTCTCAACGGGAGAGCTGATGGACCGTGGAACATTACTCAGCATTAAACGGACAATGTGGGTGAGTCACAGATGGCTATGCGAAGGTGGCCAGGCTTATAAGGCTCCTACGTACTGATTGATTCCACGTGACACCCTGGAAAACCGTATGGACGAAAACTGGTCAGCGGTGCTGGGGTGGGAGGAACTGACCAAAAGGGGCAAGGGGGGATTTTTGGGGTGTGATGAAACTATTTGGTATTCAGGGTGTGGTGGTGGATGCCTGACCCGTCTATGTGCGTGCTTGTCAAAAATCCATAGAACTGTACACAAGAAAGGGAACATTTTACTGCATGTGAATTATGAGAGGTTTGAGGTGGTATATATAGAGGTTTTGGAGGAAGTAGCAGGAGTCCAGGGAAGGAAAACATAGGTCAGTTTGTTGAAGAGCCTTGAATGCCGTGTCAGATCCTTTGGACAGGGGGAAGATTCAGAAGTTTTTAAGCAGTTAAGGAATATAAGCAGGTTTTTGTTTCAGAAAGATGGCTGCATTCTGTTTAGAAGCAGAAGCCTTTGAATGTGTGGTCCTGAGATTGCCTTCAGAAATTTTCATCCATCCTCCCCCTTTCTGGAAAGAATTTGAATTTGTGACCCACATTGAAAAATCAGGAGATCTTACATATAGAATTCTGGATTTCTGGCTTTTCTTTGATGGGATGCATGTCCTCCAGTAGGCCGAGCCCCGTATCTACTCCCTTGTAGTAGCTTTCTGGCCCCTGAGGGTGTCCGTTTTAGACCCCAGCGGATGGAGGTGCGTTTGAGGGGGAACAGAGCAAGGGCAGAGGTGCTTCCTGGCCCGGACAGAACATGATCATCACCCGGGGAACTTTAAACCCTACTGATGCCTGGGCATCTACATCTTGTAAATGTTCCCCAGGTGCTTCTACTGTGCAGCGGGGGCTGGGAACCACTGGTCTGGGGGGAGGAGACAGCCTGGATTGGGGGGCAGCAGTGAGGGAGGGGAGGTGTTAGGGACTGATGGGACGTGGGGCTGAGGCAGGGGCGGGGTCCAGTGCGACAAGGGTCCCCGCTGGAACAATGGGGTGGGATGATGTCACTTGCTGAGAAGGGGCACAGGAGGTGGTCGAGGGAAGGGGGTGAGCTCGTCTTGGCCACGCTGTGTCCAGGGAGTCTGTGGCCTCCAGCGTGCGGTGGTCTAGTGTTGCTGTGCTTACAACTTTGCCTTTGTGTACCCTCTGTCCTCCTCTGAGACAGGAGAGCAAGGCAGTAATGGGGGTGTGAGGAGGGAAAGCAGCCCCAGAGCCTCCCCAGAAGATCCGCCCCCAGGACCTGCCTGTGGACAGGGGTCCCCTGGGCAGGGCTGGGGGCGGGGAGCTCCTCTGGTCTGCCTGGGTCATGGGTGCTCTGCCCCTGCTGAGTGATATTGCCTGGACAAAGTGGGGGAGAATGTACTCAAAGGCCCTCATGCTCGAGATGAAGGGCACCCCCCAGTCCAGACATGCGGTGCCCTCAAACCCAGAACCACTCACCCCTGAAACCTATCAAACCATCTGCTGATCTGTCCTGACTTCTAAGCAGATGCTATAGCTCCATTTTTTTGTTGTTTTTTGTTTCTTTCTTATTTTTTTTTGGTCAGGAATACATTGTCTGTGTTAGCAGTCATGATCCTTTGTGTGCTGTGAGCGAAGCTAAGGCAGGAACCACTGTGCCCATTTACAGACAAGCGAGGAAAGGGGAGGAAGCAAACGTTTAGGACCTACTACTTGCCAGGTAATTCATAGACATTTTCACGTAATTCACAGAACCATCCTACCTATGTATGAAATAGGGGTTATTGTTCCCATTTTCCAGATGAGGAAACCGAGCCCAGAAAGTGTAAGTATTTTGCCCCAGATCACCAGCCTGGAGGGAGCAGAACTGGCAGCTGAGGCCTCCTCTCAACACGGTTCTTTGGTGTATTTGCATTTGTCACTGTGACCTCGGCGGGAACACACAATGCATGTACACTTTCAGCCTCTCCAGACACCTTTTATTGTCTTTGGTGCCCCCTCCGCTTTCCTTCTTGAACCTAGTGGATGTCTTCGTGACTGTTCTGACCTCCGCCCCTCAGTGGACACACCTCCTCCCCAGGGTCTGCATGGTCAGCCCCGGGGAAGGGCTTTATTGTCCTGAGAAGGGGCAGATGGAGGTCTCAGCCTTCCCACCCACCTAGGAGACATTCGCTAAATGGCACAGAGCTGTCTCATCCCAGCCCTTCTGGGCTGGTTTGGTTTCTGTCACCATTAAGCATTGATCAGGGCATTGTGCTGCCATAGGAAGCACTGTCCCTACCATCTCAACAAAGACGATTTCTGTCCTCCTTGCCTCTACCTCCTCTGAGATGCACGTAGAGACAGAGATGGGGCATTGGGGAACGTTTGCTCCTGGGAAGATTCTGGGCTGAAGCTACCTGGCAACAGTGCTCAAAATTAAAGGGAGAAGCTCACTTGGAGGATGCTCTTCAGGGATGGGGCTCCCTGAACACAGCCATCGTGAGCGTCCTCTCTGGATGCTGCTGGCTCTTGTGGGCAGCTCATCTTACAGAGCTTGGTAGGGATCCAGCTCCTCCAGGGCTGTGGTCCCCCACGGATGGTGTTTCCTTCAGCTGGCTCTCGTGGACAGTCCCAGCCAAGACTGGTGCTTGCTTCTTCTGAGCTTATCTTGACTGGTGTTGGTTATAGATGGTGTTCATCACTTAGCATGGTTTCTCCATGGGAGGTTCTAACTTCAGATGGTTCTAAATAGAGTTGGTATTTGCTGCTGATCACAACTGTCCCCACCGATGGGTTTTGGCACTGGTGACCCCACCATGATGGTTCTCAGTACAGATGGTTTTGCCAGTGATGGATCCTGTTAGGGCTGGCTCATCACTGGGGCTCATAAGTGGTTTGGCCAGTGGAGGTGGATACAGGTGAACCCAGCACCGACGAGTCTTCATACAGCCATTCTTCTCAACAGTAGTTCTCAATAGAGATGGTCTCACTGTTGATTGCTGATTGTCAGTGTAGATGGTGCTCATCATCCATAGTTCTCACTACACACGACCCTGCTGCTGATGGTTGTTGCTACAAATGGGGCTATCCAAGGTTCCGACACAGTCAGTGTATACTTTTTTAAAGGTATTTGCTCTGGCAATAACCACTCTGGGTGAAGTCTGGGTTTGCTGGGCTTTCACGTCTGTATTTTTCAAGAACCTGGTGGCCAGCAAGCCGACTCATAAAGGCATGCACATCTGGGCGGGCTGCTCCTCCTTGGCGGCCTGGTCGCCGGCTTTGGCCTTGCCCCCAGACTTGTCCTCCTGAAGACTGGTGTTACTTTTCACCCCACTTTGCACATTGCCGTCCACCGGGATGTCCTGGCAGCTGCTGGCCTGGCTGGTGGGAAGGCTGTGGGCGGAGCTGAGCAGCCCGCTACTCACCTGATAGTTCAGGGCACTGCTGCCCAGGCTGATGAAGCTCATGCTGGTCAGGCTGCTGGCCCTGCTGCTGAGGCTGCTGCTGGGCAGGCTGGCCTCGCTTTTCCTCTCCAGCCTGCCTGCTGCCGCAGGCTTGGCTGGCCACCCGGCTTCTGATTTGGCTGGGCGAGTAGATGGTGCACAGCTGGCTGCTTGGGGCGCTGCCTGCCTGGGTGTGGAGCCTTCTCGGCAACCTTAAGTTTGGAGTGTTGGCCACCAGGCTGACCTCACTGTTCTCCTCATCGCCTGCGTACCCGCTGCTCAACAGGCTGGTGTCACTTTCCTTCCATTTCCCCTGGCTGGACTGTCGCAGGCTCAGCAACCCACTCTCACTGCTCCATGGGTTTCCCAGGTTACCCCTCGAAACTCTCAGGGGCTCCTGAGTCGCTCCTGTGTCATGGTGTGGCCACGCCAGGGGCTGGGGCTCTACGCTGGGGGCCGGGAGGCTTGGAGCTTGGCCCTGAACATTCGAGGCAGCAGACTCCCCGTTTCTACCCTGGAGGAAGGTGGGGGGCAACTGATCTGGTTTATCCAGGGGGAGGGGGCCCTGGGAGGCCTATGAATGTGGTAGGTCTGGTTCGTCTGGGGAGAGGAGGCTCAATTTATAGGGTGGCCTTTCAAAGGGGAGCGTTCTGATTGGCTGTCCCGGTTCCCATGGTGAGGGGTTTATGAGGCGGGGTGGGGGTGGGAAGGACAATGCTCTCCCCGCACCAGTTACATCAGTGGCTGGGGCTGGGCATGGGCAGAAAAGGGGCTTAGGGCCAGAGAGTGGGGAGACCCACTTTCCTGGGTACGCTTCCTGCAGGGCGTGTTGCCTCTGCTTTGCCATGTCAGGAGACCTGGGTGTAAATCCCAGCCGAGCCCCTTCTGAGCTGTATTCCTTTAGGATGGCACTTCTTCTGAGATACTTGCTCCATTCCGAGACCACTGGGAGGCCTGGGGACAATATGACAGTCAGGAGTTTATCCTAAACTCTTTGCTGGATCTCCAAGGGCCTGGCTGGTCTGACTCCTCTCTCTCAGCCTGGTCCCACATCACACCCTCCCCCTTCCTCACTTCAAGGGGGCATCACACTGGCTGTTTTCTTATTCTGAGCTCTGACCTGCTGCAGAGCCTCTGCACTGGCTGCTCCCACCACCTGGAATGCTCTTCCCTCAGCCCCTTGGCCTTCAAACTTCAGCTCCAGTGGCCCCCAGGAAGTGTCCCTGGCCTCTACAAGAAGGTCCCTCTATTAGTCTTCACGTCACTTCCTACTTTATGGGCCTTGTGGCATGAAACACAATTTGCAAGTCTTTTTATGTGTTGGTTACTGAGTGCCCGTCCCCTCTGCTAGAATATCATCTTTGCGAGGGCTGAGATTTTGATCTCTTATTCTCTGCTGTGCCCCCCCACGCCCAGCATGCTGCCTGGGACATAGTAGATGCTCATTAGGCATTTGCTGAATGTATGAATGAATTAATTGCTCTAAGGTGTGCATCCCAACCACCTAGGGAACTTTTTATTTATTTATTTTTAAAGATATTTTATTTATTTATTTGACAGAGAGAGACACAGCGAGAGAGGGAACACAAGCAGGGGGGGAGTGGGAGAGGGAGAAGCAGGCCTCCCGCGGAGCAGGGAGCCCGATGCGGGACTCGATCCCAGGACCCTGGGATCATGACCTGAGCCAAAGGCAGATGCTTAATGACTGAGCCACCCAGGCGCCCCTCCTAGGGAACTTTTTAAAAAACACGTTTGGATTTTCTAGGGCACTGGTCCTCTCCCCTGGCTGCACCCCCAGGCATCCCTAGGGTCCCACTTCCAGAGGTTCTGAGTTAATTGATCTGGGTGAGGCTTTGGCATCAGAATTTTAAACCGCTCTCCAAGGTGGTTCGAATGTGCAGCCAGCACTGAGAACTAGGGTGCCAGGAGGCGAGGCTCAGCCAGATGCACTCCTTGTGGATGATTCTGTGTGCTACCCTGGCTAAGTAGTATTGTGGATGAGAACACCCACTGGGGTGCTTATTAGCGGACACTGGGTGCCTGGGTGGCTCAGTTGGTTAAGTGTCTGCCTTCGGCTCAGGTCATGATCCCGGAGTCCTGGGATCGAGTCCCGCATTGGGCTCCCTGCTCCTTGGGAGCCTGCTTCTCCCTCTGCCTCTCTCTCTCTCTCCCCCTCTCTCTGTCTCTCATAAATAAATAAATAAAATCTTAAAAAAAAAAGATTTTATTAGCGGACACTGAATAGATGTCCAGTGAATGACTGAATTAAAACAAAATTCATTGACCCTTAAAGGGTCATAGGTGGGTTTCAAGGACTGGGGGAGTTTGTTGAAATTGTAGCAGACTTTGCGATGAGCTACGTATATGCTTTCCCACCAGGAAGGAGTCACAGCCTTTGTCAGATTCTTAAAGGTATCCACGATCCTCCTAAGATCAAGAAGCATAATGATTCAGCTCAACTCTTGCCTTAGCATTTGGGAGACAGCTGGCCCTGGTGCTTGGCCTGATGGTATGGGTCTGGAGAGGGCTGGCTGGCTGTGTTTGGGATGCAGGGGGTGGGGAGGAGGAAGGCACTCCTTGGAGAGCGCGCCACTCAGCCCCTTAGCAGTCATCCTCGCTTCTGCTTCGGTGCTAATTATCACTGTCATCTGTATTACAAATTCCTTTCCCATTGCCTGGGGCCATTCAGCTTCCCTCTGCTGTATGCAGAGGCATCTCTTTTGCTGTGGAAATTATCCTTCTGGGATATGAGGGGCTTCTCATAGCTGTCTGGCTCCCTGTCCCTTCCTTACAGTCCCTGCTAGGGACCGCGAGCGAAGGGACAGACACAGTGGCTAAGCAGTGATTCCAGAGGAGGCGGTGTGGTGGGATCCAGCCGTCGTGAGAAGCGGGGACCAGGTCTAGCTTTAGGGGGCTGGCAGGAGAGAGGCATGGTCGGGCTCCAGGCAGGTAGACTGGGACTGGCTCTACCCCTGCATGAACACAAAGCAGGGCAGGTGCCCCAAAGCTGGGGATTAATGGGGAGCCGACTGGGACTCATATTCTCCCCTGTCCCCATCCCACCTGCCCCAGGCACAGTACATATGGGCCAGAGGACTGTAGTGAACACCTGAGGGTTTGTGCAGGGACCAGAGCCCTCCCTACTCTCTGGCTCATGTAACCAGAGTCAGTAGTAGCCCGTGGACACAGCAAGGCCGTGTCAATGGCCGTGTCTTGGCCCAGCACTCTCCTTCTAAAGGTTGTTCTTGAAGTCTCAGGAAGGCATCTCAGGCGAGCTCTTTATTCTTTGGGTCCAGTCTTCTCATTCCTGCCTGCACCAGAAGCCACCTGGGGGTGGTGCCCTTGTTCCTGCGCAGGCTAGGGGTCAGAGCAGAGCTGCCCTGCCTGGATGCTGTTTCAAGACCCCGCCCCGCCCCCAGAGGTGCAGGTGCTCAAGGGCCAAACGGAGCAGCACCCTTCTGAGCTGCAGTGTGTGGAGAAGGGGGCCTGTGGGGGTGCTTCTCCACAGGGCCCTTTCTCTTTCTGGGGACCGGGTACCAGGTGCTTCTCTGGTTTCCAGTCTTTCTTGCTGTCTGCCCCACTCCGAAACCCCTCCAGGGCCCACACACATATTCCAGCCTCTTTCTCCAGGTTTCTTTTCCTTCATGACTTTCAGATACTTCATACAGATGACGGGCACCCACAGGACCTCAGCCTGCGTCCCACGCAAGGCTCAGACAGGAAAGCTGGCTACAGATCCCAGGATCTGTGTGTCCCGGAGACCGGCCCCTCCCTGATGTGACAGACAATGCTCCATGTTCCCCAGACCATCTCAGTTCTCTCCTCAGCCCATAGGAGAAATATAGGTCTAACCCCTGCATCTAGGCGGGGCCGTTAGGGCACGGGCGGCGGGCCCGGGATAGAAACCTCTCCCGTGCAGCCGCCTCACTTCCTCCGTTCTGCGGGGGCCTTGGAAGCCACGCGGCAGGCCCCACAGTGGATGGAGCCTGGGTCCCTGAGTGGCTGTGTGTGTGGAGAAGCCCTGCCTGCCACCAAATGCATTTGTGCTGTCAGTGAGCAGTGATTTCTGTGCTCGACCGCCATGGCTGCGGGCTTGTGCCTTACCACGGCGGAGTCTGCCTCACACGCACTAATGTGCCCCGTGCCCACACACCTGCCAGTGCACTTCACTGGGTTGAGCTTCCTCTCTGAGAGGGTATGCAGTGGCCCCCGGGTCTGCCGTCCCACCCTGACGTCTACCCTCAGGAGCTCAGCATCCAAGTGCCCTGATGGGGATGAGAAAGAGCTTCACCAGCCCGGAAAATACCCGCCTCCCCTTAATCCTAATATTTATCCCGAATATTCCAGCAGAAGCCCTGGCTAAGTCGGGCATCAGTTCTCTAGGTATGACACACTGTGATCACTTCGAACTCAGGGAGGTGTTTTTCTGGTTTTCATTCGTTCATTCATTCAGCAATATTTCCTGACCTCCTACTCGGGCTTCCCTCCCACCAATACTTGCTAAGTGCCTGCCCTGCGTCAGGCTTGGGCGGGGCTGTGACCTCAGGGATGGATGGAAAGATGTAAACAAGAATTTGCTGTGTGATCATAAATGTGAGCAGGGCGCAAGGACCGAGATGGAGGGCGTGTGCGTGCGCACGTATGATGTGCGTGTCCATACGTGCGTGTGACTGTTGCAGGCCACTGTCCCTCGGGCAGAGCCAGCTAGCAGCAGGAGGAGAGGTCATAGAGGCAGCCGTGGGGAGGCTGGGACCTGTGGCTCCAGTGAGCTGGAAGCCGCTGCAGACTTTTCAGCAGATGAGTGGACTGGAGTTTGAACAGGTTGCCATGGTGGGGGGGGCAGTAGGGACGGGAAGATGGGGCCGGGAGCTAGTTAGGGCTAGCACAGGAATCCTGGGAGTAATGGGGAGGGCCTGGACCACACAGTGGTAGGAGAGCTGGACAGCAGTGCTGGGATCCAGGGTGTATTTGGAAGGCAAGGCTCGCCGAGAGACTGGATGTGGGGTTTAGAGGAAGAGTGGGGTCAAGGCCAGCTTGTGGGGTCCAGGAGCCTCTGGATCAGGGGTGATATGGCCTTCTAGAAATGGCACAACCTCCTTCTGAAGCATATGGAGTGGTGTGCACCTCACTAATGGCCGAGAGGAGGGGCCGAGCTTAGGGGCTCAGAAGTCAGATCAACATGAGTTCAAGCCTCAGCTTCCCCACTTCAGAGCCGTGCTTAATGATGACCCAAATGGGTGGTGGGGATTACATCTTCCACAAACATTAATTGAGAGGAAATAAACGGGAAATGTCCTGTGAGACCCTCAAGAGACAGTCAGGGAGAAGTCCCTCCCTGGGTGGACTTCACAGCTGAGAGTCAGGGGGCAGCACTGGCACAGGGGGCAAAGGGTGGGTGGGAAGGGTAGCCTGGACAGGGCTCCCTGAATTGCGTAACTGTCCCTCTCCATCTTGGGGCTCTGGCATGCCATGGGTCACATCCTGCGTCCTCCATCCAGGTGACATCGTGTGACCAAACTAACCTCTCTAAACCCCAGCTTCCTGGCCTGGGAAATAGAGCAACCCTGGTCATAGCACTCCCGGGAGGGGTGCCCCTGAGGACTGACAGGAAACACCTGGCCAGGGTCTGCCCGGAGCTTCCAGTGCATGCCCTCATGGAACCATCTACTTTAAGACGGAATATAGGTGTTTGTGTGAAAAAAGAAAACCCACATAAATGCATACACAAGTGTATATGCGTACATACATATGTATATATGAATATATATATGAATATATACATAAGTACATATGTGTATGTATGCAAATACATTCACAGTATATGTGTTTATATAGAAATATATAAGAATATGTGTAGAGATGAATATACACCTAAGAATATATATCCATATGCATATATACATACATAAGTATATCCGCATGAAGACATACATAAGGATATATAAACACGCACACTTTCTGAAACCATGAAACCCTCTGGCCTTCAGCATCACCTTCTAGGGGCACCTACTGCCCCCTGAGATTCTCCACGCAGAGCACTCTTATCCCAGAGCCTCCCCTGTGATCCTGTGATGGATGCCTTGTTCTCTTTCCAGAAGGCCCCATCATCGGGCCCCATGTGGGCGAGGACCTGCATTTACTCCCTATAGAGTGCTGCTGCGTGCTCCCCAGGCCGTGAGGTGAGTCTCCACCGAGAGAGTCCAGTGTGGGCAGGTGAGCACGGAGAGCTCCCTGGACCGGTGCTAGCGCGGCGGAAGGACCGTGTAGGGAGGACATGTTGCTCATCAAGCCCCGTGCTGGACGTTGGCGTGCATGTTCTCCTTTAACCTCATTCCGTCTTCTGTCTGCCCCGAAGCCCAGCTCCTGACTGCCTGCTTGTCCTGGGGATAGTGAGAGACATTCTTAGGGGCCCGAAGTGGAGGGCACCTCCCTACTCGGGTGCACTTGGCACTTGAACTGGTGGGAGCCGGGGCTGGACCTGGGTCCCTGATGGCAGGACCTTGGACTTTCTACCTTCTCCTGGGAGCCAGACAAAGAGCCAGCTTAGCCATGGCCTGGAGCGGTGATCTGTCTAGGAAGAAAGGTAGTTCTTCCTCTGGGTTGGTTATGTGATTGATTTCCCCCCAGCTGTTAAAATTATTTAAAACATACAAAAACAAAAGGGAAGAATAAGGTGAACATCCGTGTCATCCTTGTATTCATCACTCAATTCAAGAAAGAAGCCAATAGGGGCGCCTGGGTGGCTCAGTCGTTAAGCGTCTGCCTTCGGCTCAGGTCATGATCCCAGGGTCCTGGGATCGAGCCCCGCATTGGGCTCCCTGCTCAGCGGGGAACCTGCTTCTCCCTCTCCCGCTCCCCCTGCTTGTGTTCCCTTTCTTGCTGTGTCTCTCTCTGTCAAATAAATAAATAAAATCTTAAAAAAAAAAAAAAAAGAAAGAAGACAATACTGACAAACCTCCAAACCCATTTACCCCTCCCCATGGTGTCTCTCTGTGGCAATCCAGAATCTCATGCTCATCATTGAATGTGATGCACGTCTTCATACTTGGATTAGAAAAGGATATATCCCTAAACCAACATGGAATTGTTCTGCATGCTATTAATCTGGATATGAATGGCATTCTTTATGTACGCTTCTACAACTTATGTTCGACATTACGTGTGTGAGATTCATCTGTGCTATATGTGTGGCTCAGGTTCATTTTCACTGCCATAGAGTATGCTATTGGTGAATGTTGTAATCCATCCATTCTAAATGACATTTAGGTCATTTCCCCCTTCTCCCTCACAGTAAGTGTGCCTTTATGTGTGTCTCTTACAGGACATTTTCCCTGCGGATTTCTGGGGAATCTCCTCCCAAACAGACTATGAAAGCTTTAACTTGTTTTAATTGCACATAACGAATAGAGCAGACACTTCTCCTCAACCCTTGGGCCGCTTCTTCTGATTGTTTCTATGAGGTTCAGCCTAGGGATGGGCTGAATCACTGGGCTATCTGCGGCCTGCATTATTTGGTCATAAAACACGGCCACTCAGAATGTTCAGCTTCAGCCGAAGATGAGGTCACAGAGTTGCCTGACATGGGTGGGGTGAGGGGTTGGGGGGCGGCAGGAAATGGGGGGAGGCTGGGGTGGCTGAAAGCTCAGGGCTCATCACCCAGCTCCTGTAATCTGTGGCAAAACAATAGTCTTGTGTTCTTCATTGTGGACTCAGTGGGAGGGGGAGGGAGGATGAAGGAGAGGCTGCCTGAGGATGAGGAGGGACACAAATATTCCCTAGATCAAGCCTAGAACTGTACAGCGAAGTAACGGAGCCCTCAGTATCTGAAGCCAGAGGTCTGAGTTTAAATCCGGGGCATACCACTTCTCAGCTGTGTGATCCTGGGCAAGTTCCCCAACCTTTCTGTCCCCGTTTGTGTTCCCTCGAAAGCAGCCCTGAGGCCTGGACTTGGATCCAGTAGTTCAGCTGGGAGGTGGTCCCGGGAAGTCCCATGAAGAGAAGGGGCAGCAAGACAAGGAGGGAAGGAAAGCCAGTATGGGGGTGTTGTAGAGAAGGTGCCCGTCGGCTTGGGTCCCTGCTTCTGGGCCTGTCAGAGGCTGTGTGGAGCGCATCTCCGGCTCAGCCTGGAGGTTTTGTCACCGGCTCCCTGAGCAAGCCTCTGGGGTGCCCGAAGAAGTCCGGAGGCGGAGGGGGGCAGGGGGCGGAGGGTAGCAGGTGCAGTGCTTGGGTGAGCAGCCGCCACTCAGCACCATCTGTACCTGAGGCTGTGACCCCAGAGGGTCAAGAGGACATGGATGGAGGCTTGTCTGCTAGAGTTGCCTTGTCTGCAGGCTGATTGTTCCTTAGGTTGTTGCGAGGGTTCCATGAGGCCAGTAAGCACTCAGTAAGCACTAAGTGTCAGGAGCCTGCCTTGTGCTCTCCTAGGTTGTGGGAGGACCTGCTTGGACAAATGGAAGCCTGGAGAGATGAGGTGAAATAGACTCTGGCCACCAAAGTACTGACTGGATAGCAAGGCCATGATTTGGGCCTGAAGGCCTTCTTAGAGAAAGCCGTGTCTTCTACAATGGGGGCTTCAGGCTGCAGGGCACGGAGAGGTCAACACCCCCAGAGCTCGATGCCGGGCAGCCGTTTTCCTTGTCAGCCTCAGGCGGCACACAAGTACTGATCGGGGTGGGTCTCAGGAGCCCACCAGAGGGAGACCAGTGCCCCCCCAAGGCAGGGGGGAAAGGGGACCCCCCCCTCTGGCTAGCAGAGTTCACTGAGCACAGAACCCAGGGCAGTAACCAGTCTGTGGGAATTAATGTTCAGTACGTGACTGAGGGGGTTTCTGGGATGTGGGACTTTCTGTCTTAAAACTGAACAGTACTGACTAACCTGGGATGAGCTGGCCATTGTAACCTGAGCTGAAGTCACATGTCGTCAGTATGACCCCTGAAATCCGATTTCACCTGTCAGGCCCACAGTTTTGTGAAAAGATTCCTCCTCAGACATTCTCAGGCACACTCAAGCTTGAGAACCATCTGGTTAGACGCCAGGTTGTGGGAAGTCCATTCTCTTGCCAGCCCTCGGGCTCTAAACCACCTGCAAGCCCTGGGCAGCGTGGCGGCTCTGGGCGAGGACTCTGTGGTATGGGCTCTGAGATCAGACAGACATGGCCTCCCCCCAGGCCCTGCCTCCCACCGGCTGTACCAGCTGGACCAGTGACCCAAACCTCCTCAGCCTGCTTTCCTCTTGCGAGCAAGGGGGCCAGTAAATGCTCTTGATGGCCTTGAGGTTGGGGAGGGCTGGTGTGCTGACACTGCTGAGGCCCCAGAGCCTGAAAGAGGCGCTCATGTTCCAGAAGGTTTTGCTGAATGAATAAATGGAGAGCCTCTAGAACAGTTGACTGATACTTGGGGTAAGTTCACTAGGTTTAATTACTCTTCTTCTTCTCTTTTGATATAAAATCTCTTTATCATCAATAGAAGGCAAGCTAGACGTGCTCATTTTGGAGGCGGATTAAATGAGAGAGTAGGGTTGTATCTCACCCAGGTGCTGAGTCCTCAAGCCAGAGGGATTTGAACACGGGTTGGGCGGGATTCTGGTACTGGGGTGGGGTATCAGGGCGGAGGAAGCTTTGGAGAACAGCCCGGGCTTATGAAGTCCCAAGTGACAGATGAGGAGACTGAGTCTTAGTGAGCAGAAGATTTCCTAAGGCCGCGTGGCTGGTATGCCCCGGAGCTAGGGTTTGACCCAGTCTTCTGGCTCCCAGACCAGTCTACTCCAGGGGGTACCTGGGCATTATAGGTTCGCAGATAGGGACGCAGGTTCTCAGAGAGGGGAAGCGTTGCCTGAGCCAAGAAGCAAGTGGGGGACAGAGCTTGAGGGAGAGGCCACTCATGTCGTGGAAGGCTTGGTGTGGAAAGTGTGGGGGCTGCGAGCTCAGGGACTTCGAGAGTGGCAGCATGGCAGAGCAGGACCGGGAGGGCCCCAGCAGACGTCGCCCCCAGGCATTCTGGACTCTGGTGCCTCAGTTTCCCTGTTTGTAAAGGGAGGCAACGCTGCCAACTGCCTCTCTCCCCAAGCTTTTGGGGTGCAGGTGGGGAGCCCCCTGAACTCCTGGAGGAGAAAGCATCACCCAGGCCACAGACGGGGCCTGGCTGTCCGCCCTGTGGCTCCCTGGCGCTTCTCAATTAACCCCCGCCCAGGCTGCTCACAGGCAGAGTGCACCAGCGAGGGCTTGGCTGGCCCCGAGTTAGCACAGCCAGGGCTGTCCTTGGAAAGGGGCCACCGCTGAAGGGCCAGCTTCCTTTTCATCAAATTATTCCTCCACGTTCGCAGAGTGGAGGAATTATTGGCAGAAAATGAGGATATAAAACCTTGCTAGAGCCGAGCACCTTTTAGGGGCCCTGAATGCTGAGCACTTGGATGCTCTCCAGCAGATTGGTTCATTTTTAATGGTCTAGGACTATAGTTCATCTGTTTAATTCAAACGAGATGACATAATATCTTTCATTTGGACTTATTACCGGCACGGTGGTGATTCAGCTCCCAGCATTCTCTGGGCAGGATATTCTGTCATTACTGCACATTTTCTTTTTCTGGTCAAATTGAAAGTCCGCGGGAAGGGCTGCAGCCTTGGAAAGGAGAGATCAACCGAGAATAGGTCACATCGGGTATTAAGGAATGAAAATGAATTCATTCTTTCCTCCGTTGAATAAGCAGCTGTACTTGCGTCTCTGTGATCCATGAAATAGGCTGTCAGGAAAATAGGAAATGGGCTGCATTTGAACTTCACCCGCCGATTCTGCCCCGTTGCCTTGGAGACTGGTACTGCAGCTGGGGCAGGGGCAGGGGGCAGGAGGGGCGCTCATTCATGGGGCACCCACCCTATGCCAGACACCTGGCTTCAGCGGTCCTGGGAGGGGGAGCCGCCTACGATCCCCATTTTGCAGATGAGGACATCAAGGCTCAGAAAGATACAGAGACTTGCTCAAGGTCACTTAGGCACAGAACCCAGCTTCCGTTTGAGGTGCCCAGCATCATGGCTGGGAACTTGGCCCGAAGAACCTCAAACCCTCACTCTCCCATGGACAGTCTGTTCGACCTCAGGTGTCAGCTTGCTACATGGTAGAAATACCCATGGTCACTGCCCTGCAGTGAGGGTGACCTGAGGGAACGGATACCTTGGGCTCGGCACCATGTCTTTGTTGTTACGAACTTTCGCTTTTTCCATGTGTCTGATGATGGAGTGCAAGAAGGAAGCCTGGAAAGCAAGTGACTTGCCCTTAGACCTAGTGCAAGTGGGTCATGGGACTGGGAGCTGTTCTTGGAGTGACCTAAGAGCCCCTGTGCCTTCTGCTACACTGGGTAGTAGAGAGTCTGGTGTGGGGAGGGGGTTTGGAGATGTTTACAATGGAATTACCCTCTTCTCTGCTTTATTTCCCTCCATCAGACCCTTCACCAGCCCTCTATATTTGACTTGGTTATTTGGTTCATGGTCTGTCTCCCACACATCCTGGCATTTATGTGAGGGATGGACCGGTCTTGATCAGGTCACTGTTGTATCCCCAGTGCCTAGAATCCCGGGCTGGGGATGGGTGAGGCAGGTGAGGCAGGTCCTGCAAGTGCAGGCTTAGATCCTCTCTATGATTAAAATTTGGATGTTTTGTTCATTGTAGATACTTTTGCATTCATTTTTATTTTTAATGATATTGCATAAAAGTATTGGTTATCCTGATTTCTGAGTTGTTTTTATCACTCTCTTCAATTTTGCACTTGAGTTGAGTACCCCACTTGTCCTACCCTAGTCCCAGTTCTGCCCTAGAACAGTGCCTGTCACCTACTGATATTCAATAAAGATCTGTAGAATGAATGATACCCTATTATGTATCAGGACATTTCCTGGGTTCCCAGGGAAGTCTTCCAATGGGTATTCCAGGCTCTTTGGGTCTGAAGGAAGCCAGAGCCCCACACGGAGCTGCTTTTATTTGGCTCCATAATCTGGGGACGGCTGAGTATTTCTGCTAGTGGTGAGCTAAAGAATAAGGGCGTGTCCCTTCCAGGATCTGATTGAGGAACCCATTAGAACTCAGACCTCTACGACTGCCTAATGGGAGAACGGAATGCAAGAAATCCACGGGGCTCTGAAAACCTACATGGAATTTCATGCTGTCATTATAGACCACTGCACCTCTCCCTCTCCTGGATGTGTCTTGCAATTAAAAGCCACAGTGGTTTGTACTGACAATCGTTAACGCAATGAGATCCGGCTGTATGTGCTACTAATCCCCTTCTCCGAGGTTGAGCACACCTGGGCTGAGCCAGCTCACGCTCTGCTGTGATACCCGAAGCTCCATTTCGATGAAACAGTGGATCTTGCCTCTACCTTTGGCTTTATTTCCCTCCAAAGCTGAGGCTCCATCGAGATGCATTTTTCTAATTAAGGCGGGAGTAAGAAATAACCTCCTATATAATTTAAAATGGTAAAATCATCGATACCTTTTCCAGCCTCAGCTTTAAATCTTAGCCACCAATGACTCCCCTATTAACGGGCCTAATTAAATCCATTTTTCAGGACGTCTTTGGCAAATTCCATTTTAGTAAAACCGTAGCAAGTTCACTTTGATGTGTCTCTGCTTCCCAGGGCTCTCCTATGAAAATGAGGACGGGGTGGATGCTTGTCTCTTGTGTCTCACATTCATTGATTTACTCGACAAATATTTACTGAGCACCTACTATGTGCATTGGCATTGAACTAGAAGAGGAGGAAGGAGAAGTGAAAAGATAAAACATTTCCTATCCTAATGGCCAGAAGGGAATGGGGCTCATTCATTCATTCATTCATTCATTCAACAAACATGTACTGAGACTACTAACAGTCTACTAACTGTGCTAAGCCCTGGTGTTGGGGTGACGAGGTGCTGCAGACAGTTCATACTCAATGTGGTAAATGTTCCGATAGGCTAAAGCAGAGGGGACTGCAAGAGCTCGGGGGACAGCTCCTAGCTCAGACTGGGAAGCTGGGGGTCAGGAAGCTTCCCCAGAGTTGAGCTTTAAGGGAAAAGTAGGTGTCAGCCATGTGAAGCAAAGAGAGGGGAAGGTGTTGCAGGAGCAGGGGTGGATGGGCACGAGGCATGGGAGAACACGGGATGTGTGGGGAATTTTAAGCTGTTCACTGTGGTTAGGGCAGGGCTCTCAGCTCTGGGAGCACACTGGAATCACGTGGGGCCTTTGAAAAATACCAGTGCCTGCACCCAACCCCTGAGTGTGTCACTCATAGTTTCTGGGGGTGCGGGTCAGGGTTTTGGTATTTTTTTTAAAGCTCTCCAGGTGATGCTAGTGTTCAGCCAGGGTTGAGAGTCACTAGGCTAAAGCATGCAAAGTGGTGGGAGGTGAGGTTGGAGAGGTAGGCAGGGGCTATACCCTGGAGGGAGCTGGAGACCTGTGAAGGGGTTTGAGCCTTACCTGAGGGTGCTGACATCATGGAAGGGTTGAAAGCAAGGAAAGAAGGGGTTCATATTACACTTCAGAAGGAATTACTCTGCCAGCAGTGTAGATGATGGGTAGTGTGGGAGTCACTGGAGCCAGAGAGACTAGTAAAGAGGTTATTACAGTGACCTGAGCAAGAGATGATGTGGCCTGGACCTAGGGTCATGACCGTGGGGATGGAGAAGGGAGATATTCAGGAGGGGCAAGGTTGACAGGACTGGGTGGTGAATTGTGCATCCTGGGTGAAGTAGGGGAAGCAGTTTAGGATGGCTCCAAGGAGCTTGGGTGACTGGGGGGATAGTTGTGACATTAATTAGGGAGGGGCAAAGAAAGGATGATTTGGGTTCAGGACATTTTGGGGGATTTGTAGATATTTTTGCATTCAAAAAGTTAGATTGGCAGTTAGAGTTGAAGTCTGACACTTGGAACTGTGCTCTATATGTACAGAGCAATTGGGAAGTCAACTGTTACTCTTACTTGGAAGTAGCAACCAAGGAGAGTGTGTAACCTCTAAGAGAAGAAGAGACTAAGAGAAGAAGGTCAAGGGTGGTGGAGTCTTTAGGAATCTCAATGTTTAGAGGGTAGTTGAAGCTTCGAGGAGCTGAGAAAGAACTTGATGGGGAATGGCAGAGAGGTAGGAAGAAAGCAGAGAGGGTGATGGCATGAAGCCAAGAAGGAGAGAGTTCTCAGAAAAGAGTGGGGCAACACGTTGAAAGTTGTACTGGAGCCAAATAAAATGGAAGGCAGTTCTATACATTCAGGAAAAAACAGTTTTGATGAGACACTGGGGTTGGGAACCAGACTGCGGTGGGTTACAGATTAAATGGCAGAGAGATGAGTATAAATACATGCTGGTCCAAGAC